CGGCAGATAGATGCTTCAAATACTCGGTACTTCGCATAAGTGTTTGGGTTTCGATCTGAGCGGCGAGTGACCATATCGAATTCAGCTTGTTAACCCGTGTTTCCGATAGATCCTGGAGACTCTGTAACTGTTAGCCATGCGTCACTGATGTTGCGGCTTGACTTACGTCTAGTAGCTCGGGGACGTATTCATGGTAGTACATCTCCTTTTGCTTGTTGGTTACGTTGATACTGATGAGATAGGTGTTCTGCGGTGGTCAGTGTAAGAGATGTGAGATTTGGCATGCTACGTACCTTGACGTTGCGCATCTCGACCTGCTGCTGTTCGAAAGCATTCCGCGCCTTGGCTTTTCCGTGGTCAAATGCGCCGTCCGCCTTCTTGCGCCGGCTCTCGACCTCCTGGCAGACGCTGTCATATTTGCCCTTTTGCTTGCGCAACTCGCCATACTGGTTGTCGCGCTCCTTCTCTAGCTTAGCAGCATAGTCTCCGTGCAACTTGCGCAGCTCCTCGGTGCGGGTGCCAAGGACCTTGAGGGGGTCAGCGAGCTGGGTGATGAGAGCGCCAGCGAATTGTTCGTGTTCGGAGGCGCGGGATTCGAGGGTGCTTAATTGAACACCCCATGTGGTCATAGAAGCGCTGTGTGGATGTGTCAGTAACGCCCAAACCTCATGCGACGGTAGTCGTACCTCTCGAGCGAGCCTGGAGTTACAGTAGGCGTGTCACCAACACTGAGGCTGCTCTGCTTCTTTGCCTTCTTTTCGTAGTACTTCTTCGCAAGCGCGCTGAGTTTTGCCGAATATTCCTTCTCGATAGCGCTCCGTTCCCGGTAGAACTGTTGGATGTCATCCAGCCAGGAGATGCCGCCGGAGACCTGCAGTCGCGTGTCAGTAACTCGAAGCGCAAGGCACGTAGCTGGCGGCGCATATGTCTGTTCTCCCCCGGAACTGTATGAGAGTGTGTATGACGTACCCAAGCGTTGACTGTCTTGAAGCCATCCTGTGATCACCCGTCAGCGCATGCTCGGAGGTGCTGCTCCAACTCCGCATACCTTCAGTTCGGCGCCAAACTGGGGCGCAATGTCGACCTCCATGATTGCTGAGATGAGTATGGGTCGTGCACGTGGAGAGAGGGGACTCGGGCCCCAGACATAGAGGGTGAAGGAGTGCTGGGGCGAGGGCGGGAAGGGATACGCGGAGTACACCAGGCGTCTTGGTTACCGGCAGCCCAATTAGTGGGGCAGGAGGAATGGCAACGAGGCGGTGCGTGCCGAGGAGGGAAACCCGGGATCTGAGCCGGTGACGCTGGATCTTGGTAATCTTCTGCTCGTATTGTATTATGTGGTGTGGTGAATAGTGGCACACGCCGACTACAATGGCATGCAGGAACAGGGCTATTGAGCGCCTTCACTCGGTCGCGCCTGCACACATGCTCGGGGCCTGTTCATGCGGCCTGCGCGCTAAAGCTGCCTAGCGTCTCAGCCCCGCCAAAGTCGACAACTGGAGCTCTCACAATTTCCAACGCGTCTCTTGTACCTGCAACAACACAGCTACCTCACACTTTGCGCCAAACCACCTTGAGCGAGCAACGAATTTGTATCCATAGCAATTCGCTCCGCTCAGCAAACTCCCGCGACTATCACCAAGCCCGCACCTTCCTCACCTCACCGCCCGCAACGCGACCCGCACTCGCCCACCATGTCGGCGGCAGAAGAAACCCCCATCAAGCAGGAGCCGACCGAGGAGACTCCCGCGCAGCCCGCGCAGGAACCCCAAGAAGCTCCGGAGTCTTCGCTCGAAAAGGCTCAGACCGATGGCAGCGGTCCACCTGGAAACGGCTCTGCTCTGGCTGAGCCCAAGTTCAATGTCGAGGTCAAGCTCGCCGACCTGCAGGCAGACCCCAACAACCCGCTCTACTCCGTCAAATCGTTTGAGGAGCTTAATCTGTAAGTGGACCGCGCTCACACCAACGAGCTAGCTAACAATGTCAGCTCCGAGGAACTCCTCAAGGGCATTCGCAGCATGAACTTCACCCAGCCATCCAAAGTTCAAGAGAAGGCCTTGCCTCTGCTTCTGATGAACCCGCCCACCAACATGATCGCGCAGTCACAATCCGGAACTGGTAAGACTGCCGCCTTCTCGCTCAACATCCTGTCTCGCGTCGACCTTTCGAACCCCGAGCCGCAAGCGCTGGCACTCGCGCCTAGCAGAGAACTCGCCCGTCAGATTCTTGGTGTCATTACACACATGGGTCAGTTCATGGACGGCCTCAAGACTATGGCTGCCATTCCCGACCCGTCGCGGAGGGGACAACAGTTCAATGCACAGATTCTCGTCGGCACACCGGGAACTGTTCAGGACATGCTGAGGCGGCGTCTCATCAACCCAAAGAACATCAAGATTCTGGTTCTGGACGAGGCCGACAACATGTTGGATCAGCAGGGCATGGGCGAGCAATGCACTCGCGTCAAGTCACTTCTGAACAAGGACATCCAGACAGTCCTCTTCTCCGCTACCTTCCCACCCACCGTCATCGCATACGCCAAGCGCTTCGCACCCAACGCAAACACGATTACTCTAGCGCATGAAGAGTTGACCATCGAGGGTATCAAGCAGCTGTACATTGATATCGACAAGGACAATGACAAGTACGCAACATTACTCAAGTTCTACGGTCTGATGACACAAGCCTCGTCCATCATTTTCGTCAGGACCAGAAGGACTGCTGAGGAGCTCGAGAAGCGCATGGTTGCCGAAGGCCACAAGGTTGCGCAACTCAGTGGTGCCCTGGAAGGCCCTGAGCGTGATCGCATCATCGACCAGTTCCGCTCCGGAGAGGCCAAGGTCCTCATCACCACCAACGTTCTCGCTCGTGGTATCGACGTGCAGTCAGTCACTATGGTTATCAACTATGTAAGTTATGATTCAAAAGAATATCTACAAGGGGTACTAACTGTTCTTCCAGGACGTCCCGACCATGGCAAACGGAGTGGACGCAGACCCCGAGACATACCTCCACCGCATTGGTCGTACCGGTCGTTTCGGACGCGTCGGTGTCGCCCTTACTTTCGTACACGACAAGAACAGCTGGACACAGCTGAACTACATTGCGAGCTACTTCAAGACGGACCTAGTTCCCATCGACACATCGGACTGGGACGCGGTCGAAGAACTGATTCAGGGCGTCATCAAGTCATCGCGAGCTGGCAAGACAACGGAGGAGATGAGAGGCTAGGGCGTAATTCAAGGACTATGTGTGGGGGAACAAAGCTTTTGAGCCATAGCGAACACATGACAGGGTCAACGCAGCCGTTGACCTCTATGAAGAGATAAAAGGATCACGTACGATGGAAATGAATCAAAGATACCCAAGCTTAGCAAAGTAAACTAAGTCTTCTCTTTTCAAGTCTCAAACGCCCCCGGCGCCGTAACCACTATGATGATGAGTGAACTCGCTATCAGCGCGCCTGCTATGGCGCTGACAATGATGATGCTGCCTCTCGACGCGGGGAACTTGCCCCGTATAACGTAATGCTGAGCCTCAAAGTACCGATGAAACCCTATCAGAAGCATGAGAATCGCAATACCGATGAACGTCGCGCCCAGCGGTTTCCCCAAATGCCGCAATTTCGCTTGTGGAGAGGTCGTAGAAGATGAGTCCGGCGAATTCGCTATCGAAGTGTTCAGTCGGAAGAGTTGCGTTATCGCTATGCCGATCGAAGCAAAGGAGAGGGATGTGCGGAGCCAGGCTAGGAAGGTTCGTTCTATTCATCAAGTCAGTATTACCATTCCCGTCTTCCTCGGTTCACATCCACAAGAAGTAGAGACGAGAATATAGTCTTACCAAGCGCCAAATGATCCCTAGCAACACTGCCCTTATTATCCAACTCTACACTCCCGTACTTTTCCCAAAACGCACTCCACCACCCTTTCTCCCGTTGTTCCACCGCTGCCGCTTCCCGCTCTGCACTCCTCGCGCGATGGTCTACACTCGCATGGCCGTTTAGTCGGCGTTGGTCGACGGCGGGTTGCAACGTCCCTGCTGTGCCTTCCTGTGGCGCGCCGGAATCTGTGGCGGAGGGCCCTTGCGGTATAGAGGACGCGTCGTTGGGGTCTTGAGACGGGTTCGCGGGTTTAGTCGTTGTGGTGGAGTTGTTGGTTGAGGTGAAGGAGTCGCGTGCGCGGATATCAGGGGATATGGAGTTGTAATCTTTGGTGTGGGATTGCGAGCTCGTTACTATGGGTGAGGTTTCAGAGGCGCCGCTGTGGGTTCGTGGTGGGAGGGCGTCGCGTTCCGAGGTGCGTTTACGGGGGCCGGCGATTTCGGCCATGGTTTCCTCCTTTCTCTCGATTCGTGGTGTTTACGAGACTGGTCGATGGATGGTGTGTGAAATATTCCGGTCGTCCCGTACGGTTTCAGTTGTGAGAATGGTCGTCGCTGGGTCGAGGGAATGCCTTCCGAAGCGTCATCCCGCACCGAGGTGGATCGGGCGAGGTACCGGAGCTCTGGCACGCGACGATCCGTTCCCCGCGGGGTTCAGTGTCGCATGCGCCTGTCGATGCATGCTGCCTCAATATTCAGATGCTTGTAGAGTCTCTTGATTCGGCATGTTAGATCTAAAGATGGGTGTAGCGTGATTGCGCCTGGTCGTCACGCAAGACCCGCATCTGCCACTGGCCTATTGGAACGAAGCGTGCTCCGCAGCCCACATAGTCGAGGCTAAACGCTTGGAAACATCTTGGATATATGGGTACTAATTCATGCCGCAATGTTCATCAACCAGTAACTCAAATGTTGCAGTAGAAACTTTCGTAATCCAATTCAGAGATGATGCTGGTATATCTCTTGCCAGCAAGCCTTCTATACCCCTAATACATGACTATTTTCGTACATGCAATGCTCATGATATCAACAGTGTGGCAGTCGGAAACCCCTCTCGAACGCCGCCCAAGACCGCCAAAGGAAGCAGTCTGCAAATAGATTGTACATCGCCTGTGGTCTTCTTACTCGTTGTAGTGGTACACCTACGATGAATGTTAGCAAACAATGTCTGTGTCGCAGGACGGAAAATCACTTACAAGATAGTTTGGCAGTCCGAAACTTTCCCAGTTCAGTCGGTTCGCCATCTTGGCGAAACCCTCCGTCTCAATGAGGTTGTAAAAGGCAAACGGTGGGAACATGGCGCCGTCTCGGTGTACCTCCGCCTTGACGAGCAAAGTAGCGCCGCCGACTCCGTCGAGCTTGATCTTTGCCTTGGGGTCCGCCGATGTGTCGTGCATCTTAGCCATGAGGCTACGGTATGTAGCCATCTCGGCGTACCCTTCGAGCAGAATGTCGTCCTTGCCCATCTTAGCAGCAAGGTCCTTGGCTGTGGGGCTGTCGATCCAGTTGTTGAAGTCGTATTCCCGGATGTCCATGCTCTTCTTGTCTTCATTGTAGTATCTCTGGAAGCAGTTGGGAACGATGATGGGCACGTCGTAGTCGGCCAGATCCTGGATCAGAGTGGGTGGTGTCTCGACGATGTCTGCGTCCATCCATAGGACCCATGAGGTTGTGGGACCCAGCGTTGTGAAGAGGAGCGAATTGCGCGCCTTGGCCATGGCTGCACGTCGCGCCTTCTGGTTCTCCATCTTGTGGCGCTCGGCTTCGGTTTGCGACTGGAGGGGGGACTCGGTGTCCTGACGGAGGATGGTAATGGCGGAGAAGCGATTCTTCTTGGATCCAGTTTGTGTCTTGGTGACTTGCGCCTGTAGCGCTGCGTATGCGGCATTGCCCTCCTTAGTCTTTGGTATTATGAAGCCCAGGGAGATGAGGTTGTGTGGGTAGTTGAGCTTGAGCAGGTTGTCCCAGTATTCTTGGTAGAACTTGGCCAATGGGGTGAGAATCAGGACCGTCTCCTCGTTTTCGATTGGCGTGCGCGTGTTGGTCACGTTGTTCATATAGTAATGTACGACGGGCGGCGCGGCCTGTGGAGCATTCGCCTTGGACTTGCGGAACGGTAGCGAGGGTGGCGAGAGGGGGTTCGAGGCTACCTCTCCCCCTCCTTTTCTGGTAATGGATGGCACATCGGTCCCAGAGAAGAAGAAGACGAAGAAGCCGATGCAGAGGATGCCCGCGAGGATTATGGTGATCGGATTCGAGCGTCGGAACGAGCGTGACATGGTGGGTGGACGATTAGGAAGGAAGGCGAACCGCGGCTGCCAAATGGGAGGGGTCTATGAAGGGCGCATCAGAAGCAGAGGCAGGCGGTGGTGATGGTGCGGGCGTGGGTCGGCGCAAGGAGGTGTGTGCGAGACGTGGCCTGGCCGGCGCTCCAAAAAGTGTCAAGGGCGTGTGCAGGCGCCCGAGTGGATGGCAAGCGTCCGGAGGGCTTCCAGGGAGTATAGACGCGTCGGTTGACAGGCTCAATGCTCGGGCTGGCAGGTGACAGGAGTGCTTGCCATGCTACCACGCCCGTTGTCGCGAGATGCGGCTCTGCTTACGTACGCATCTCGTCTCCAGGCCCTGCAGGCATCGCGGGTAGTGCGATCTGCTAGCTGCGGATGGTGCGTCATGACCACCTGCATCTGCATCTTCAACACCACGTCCATGCTTCACTATGGTCAATTGAGCTTCGACAAATGCCTCTACTGGTTGCGCGACAATGGCCACTCTTGAGGCGCGCCGCTGCCGCCGCTCGCCCTCTGCGCTGTCCCTCAGTCATACCGAATAGACGCGCAAACTTCGATCAATTCAAAGCATATCACGCGCCCGTTCGTCGGCACTGCGGCATAATTGTACCACCGTCTGTGGAATCCCATGTAAGGAAATTGCTCCAAACCACTGCCATAATCTAATAACGTCTCCAGCCACACGATCTTGTTCAGCACATCGCTCCTCCACCACTGGACGTCGCCCGTCAAAGGACCTTCTGTGTCTTCTTCGTCACGCCTTCGTATGCGCACTACTTGCTGGACGATGACGCTTTCCTCCGCAACGCTCTTCTGCGCGCTTACGAAAATGCGGCCGACATACCGGACCTCCACATAGATGCACTGTGTGCTGTCGTAGACAAACTCCCCGTCAGCAGGGTTGGGGAGAAGAACCCTACTCAGCCGCCTCTTGCTGGCGCGGGGTTCGAAGGAATATCCTACGCGATTCTCCCGTCCGATGTTTCTGTACCGTCCCACGAACTGTCGCCATTGGACAAGAGCGCTATCGATTTCATATTTGCCGAACACAACGTCAAGGACACCGTCTATCGTGACACTTTGCGGTTGCCTCTTGCAAATACTGTCTTCCAGACAGGCTCGCCATCCACGATGATCCTATCGACTTGGACCCTGGATGCGAATCGTCAAATGACCCCTGTATCCAAGACCAACGTTTCTCATCATGGAATCCGCTTAGTCAAGCAACAGAAAGACTCAACTCCCGTTCTCCACGTTCCGTTAATTCCACTCACAATGCCCCGCACAGTCAACGGCTGCATGGGCAACATCATCCGCAGGGTTATCGGGCCTGGCGGTAAATCTCTACAGGCCTCGTCGGAACTTGAAAATGTTGTTCCCAGATTCTTCAAATCGCGAGGACAGCCTGCGCAAGCGACTGTAGCTTGGGCACTAGTGATACCCGATGAGCTGAGGGCCATCATCGCCGCTCGAACGGATGAAATCCTCTCTGGCTTGCCAACAGACGCTCAGAGTCCGGTCTCCGAGCACACCAATGCATGGGAGCGTCTATGGCGCAGTGATTCCCCTCTCTATAACACGCTGGTATCGCAAGCACTTACTGAAGGAGCACGTCTCCATCGAGTCTTGAGTGGTGGAGGTGGATGGGGAAAGAAAGCTGGCTTATTATCGTTGGATCCTGCAGCGGCCAGTCCAGCTGCAGACCCACCAAAGGATGACGATTTCCTCAGCATGATCAGTGATCCCCAAAACTTCGAGTCAACTCTTACGCCAGTGGTGCGAGACGGTGACTCGATACAGTTCTTCATCTCTCCGAAATCTGATCTCGAACAGTTGGCTCAAAAGTCCGGTCACAGAGGGACGATCAGATGGGCTGCCTTTGGGAAAAAGATGAATTGGGGCTGGGAGGTGGGCACAATTCCCAGCACTGTGGACTCGATCCCCGGGGAGTTGTCGCAAGACAGTCAGACCAAAGGAGACAAGATATTGTGTCTTCCTGGCTTTGGTGCACTGAGTGAAGGAGCGATGACGCTTACACAGCACTCTCGAGTAGACGAAGGCAGGCTCCACAGCGTAACTACGACGGTCGATGTTCCGTTTTCTCGTTTCCGGACGATGCGTAAAAATGGAGCTACGCCTGATGAAAATAACGAGGACGAGGACGTAGGTGAGCCTGATGTGGACTCGACCTTCCCATGAATGTGTTCTGATAGCCCAGGTAGTCAAAACATGAGCCAAATACATCGAAATCTGTGCCATCCATTCATACGCAGGTGCCGACTCACAATCTGTCAACTCTGAAAGTAGCCAGCACGTCTCCATCTCAGCAAGAAGAGCAATCGCGGACCCCTCCAAGACTAACAGTGGCGGAACTGGTTCGCAAGCTCAAGATAGAAGGCCAATCTACTTCCGGCCGGCTCCGTGTTCGGACAGCGAACGCAATATTGCGCAGATTCGAGAAGCTCTTCGATAAACAGAAGACGAAGCATACAGCTGTCATGTCAGAAATTTGGCAGCGGCACTGTCTATTGATGGCTGTGAGGTTTAGGACGCTTATGGTTGATGCAGCGGATCTGATGGAACAGGCTGATTCCGTTTTGGACGACATCAATCGCAAGCTTGTGCGAAGGATTCCAGCTAAGGAGCGAGAGAGGCCAAAGGAGGAGAGGCTAGCGAGGAACGCAGAGAAGAGGGAGAAGAAGAGGGCACAAAAGGCTGAAAGAGCGGCACAGAAAGAGGATCGTGCCAGAAGGAAGGACAAGACGAACGCGACATCACCTACAGCGACAGGAGCGCCGATCCGCAAGTTTACCTCCTACGGAATGTCTACAGCAGTCGAGATCGACGAGAAACTCAAACCTGCCGTCTCTGAAGTCTCCCGCCTGACTGAAGAGGCAAGAGCTATCATGGCTGCCATTCAACACACCAAACCACACATCCGCAGAATGCCCGTCTCAAAACTAGCAACAGCCCAAGCCTTCAATCAAACACTAGGTTACGCCGTTCAAGATATCCTCAATCTAACAGAAGAAGCACGCACTATAATGTCTACCATCCAGCAACGCAAACAACAGCACCAACGGCAACGCACCCAGCAGACTCAATGGCGACACCTGCGCCGATGGGGCCGCGACACTACAATCGTATCCTTGAAGCCTGATACTTCACCCAAACTCCTCTTGGACACGGCATACAAAGCGCGCCGAACATCGATATCAATGATGCGAGCCTTCAAAAAGCGCGTCAGAAGCATCAAAGCTCTCATCCGGCAGCGTAAATGTGACCTTCGCAAATTGATCAAGGCAAGGCCAGGCGTCGTGCAAACCCAGCGGCGCAGGCGCATCCGACGCGTCAACCTACCTGTTCATGTTGTGCGCTACCCTTCTGGACGCCGGACAGTGCGGAATCAAACTGTTCCTGCGTTGCAGAAAGGTAAACGTTTTGCGAGGTTTAGGACTGTGATGCAACGGCAGCCGGGGTTCAGGACTGTGACGCAGCAACGGCAGTCGGTGATGGAAGAGAGGAGACAGAAGAGAGATGAACTTGCGGCTACGGTGGCGGGTTGGCTTGGTGGTGGTGGGAGTGCTGGTGGCGATAGAAGTGGTCTTGGATCGTTACTTGATACGGCGGAAGATGAGGGGAGAGCTGGAAGTGGTGGGCGGAGGCGACGGAGGTGAGTGGATGTGGAGGATTGTCGATAAATATTGAGGATGTAGTCGCAAGATGATGTATATACAACTTTAGGATACAGAAGAGTAGGATATCATCGATGCTCGAGAGATGTATTGCATGTCCGCATACCCTATCCTCATATGTATGCACCGCATGCAAACGATACTTCTCCAGCTCATCTCATCTCATGCCTATTATGCTTGCTAGCGCTGAAGAGGTATAAATACCAGCTTTCTCTCTGCTCGAAGCTCTCTCTCATACCAGCTTTTTTCCCCTTTTTTTTCTCAAAAAGATGCGATACACGCGTTCATGTCGTTCTGTCCAAAACCACCTGAGGATCTGGTCATGTTTGGTGCTGACTATCGAAAACAAAAGCTACGGCTGAACAAATTATGTCCTCCCTTCTTCCGAATCTTCCAAAATTCAAGGACGCGAAAGGCCATGTTGTTCTTGAGCTGGAAGCTATCAAAGGAGATAGATCGTCTTTCCGCTGGACTTCTCAAATCTGCACATTGAGAATCTATGGTTGCGCAGCCAGAAGACTACAAAACAAATTGGACAACTATTGATGGTCGTTCGTCGAGCCTTCCTCTCTGCCTAGACTTCTTCCATACACAATCATGCCTTCCTCTTCTTCCTACAAAAGAATCCGAAAAACCAGTCGATGTCTTGGAAAAACCAAATTTCCGTACAATGACCAGGCCTGGCTGTCCAAAAACGCTTGGGCCATTCCTATGTGTTTCTGCTCTTCCGATCTTCAAAACAACTTCAAGAACCGCCTATGCTTTTCTCAAGTCGAAAGCTGGCATTGTCGTTCTTGTCTCCGGTATTGCCAAATATTCGCATACATGTTACATGGTTGCGCAGCCACAAACAGAGCGACCAAATATCGATGGCGATCTTCTGTCCAGCCTTTTCTCTGCTTAGCCTTCTCTCCTTCATACCAACATGCCTTCCTCTTTTCCCCGAAAAGACGGATGGTTCCTATCATGTCCTCCAAAACCATAAACTTCCACGGCTATGACCAGTTTTGGCTGTCCAGAACGTTTAACGATCAATGGCAATCTCTTTCCGCTCTTTCGAACTTTCAAAATTACACTCTCCAGGTTGATGCGTTTCTCGAGCCGACATCTGGTATCCAAACTGCCATGTCGCTTTTCCTGCCGACTCTTTCAAACTGCCTCATGGGGCACTTATGGCTGCGCAGTCAAAAAATACAGCCTCATGATCGATGGCAGGTTTCCGCTGCGCTTTGTCCCATTCATTGAAAAGCAGGTCAGGCAGAGCAGATGTTCGTCCCTCGGGCTCTTTCCCGACCAAAGAAGTTGACTGTCATGTCTATGTCTGCTCCTCGGTGGGCTTTTGCGCGACTTCTACAATCATTCAAAACAGTCTGAACATGGCGACATGGAGTTCACAATCCAAATGTACTACTTAACATGTGTCCAGAGTCTGGATATTCTACCTACATATTGACGAAAGCCGATTTGTCGAAACCGAAAAGGTCAGAGAATACGGTATATGCGTATCCCATGCAATGCGACCATCATATTTTCCAGCCTTGTTTCATCGGAGGATATAAAAACTTCGTCTACCTCTTCACGGTCCTTCTTCCTCCTACCATATCTACACCATCTTTTTCTAAAATTTCAGATACACCCTGCTCATGGAACCAAAAACACGAGCACGACCAGCGATGTCTGGTGCGCTGGGTGCTCCGGTACGCAAACATTTAGCGCTTTTTATTTAAAACACACGCAGAAGTGTGGGATGACCCAAAGTCGTTGACGCAGTGGCTTACTTCATTTCGAGGAACTGTGTAGACTCAAAGCTGCGTTCACCAAGTGCATGTCCGACTGGAGGACTATAAAACGTCTTCTACTTCCTCACCGACCTTCTTCTCTTTACACCACTCAGAAACATCTGTTTCCAAAATTCCTATATCATCAAGTTATGTGTTTGTCAAGCCAAAGAAAGAACTTAGTTCCAACATTTCTATGTTCTCCTCCGAGTTTAAAAAAAGAAGTGGGCAATGTAATGTCTTCCACCTTCTTCCAACTCAAAATTTATATGATACCGTTCGATGGCTTCCGCGAGTCTTGTCCCCTTATAACCACACCAAAGGCCGGACACAGCACTAGTCGCAACGCTGTATAAAAGGCTCTTCCGATCATCGTCAACAACCTACTCTCCAACTTCTCCGGGATACTTCCAAAAAACCAAAAAGCTATAGCTGCACAAAAATGAACGAAAGCTGACGACAAACAAGCTATGTGTTTTTCGCGCGACCTCCAAAGTTAGTCGAAACAGTTGTCGACTCCTGAGATGTGCGGACAAACTCTGCTTTCAAAATTTGAAGGCAGAGCAGACATGGTTCTTTGCCTGCTCTGTCGAAAAGCGAAGAAAAGAGGAGAATGTCTGAGAAGCTCTGCTGTGCCAAAGTCCACGAGATTACAACGCCATGAGTTCGAGACAAAGAGCAGCTCCAAAACCTAAAGTACACGGACGCATGTGTGAGCGAAGCACTAGAAATTCAGGTATAAAAGCCTCTGCATCTTGCCTGGGACTGCTTCTCTTCTTCTCGACACCAGAAAGCTTCATTCTTCACTTCGTTTACCAAAACGCGCTGTATAGCGTCAAATGGGGAGTGAGAGAGAGAAGTTTCCAAAACAGTGGCGAAGCCTGAGTATGTCCGGCGGACGGCGTCTCTCTCTCTCCCCAAATTGCAAACGCGCCTCGAGCTTCTCGCTGCTGTTCTCGGTAATAGTGATGATGATCGTCATCATCACGCATCCTCTCTTCTACGCTCCGTCAAGCAGTCCCATAGCCACCACCACGCCGCAATCCGATATTCCATCGATACGAGAATCTGAACTTGGGTTCATGTTATACGATGTGTTAGTATTGGCTCTGGAATGAGTCAGTAGAAGCTTGGGAAAGTGCCGCGTCGATGAGGCCGATCGGCCGGGTTATGGATCTGAGCCAGATATCCAGTACTCCTATAGCGATGTGTGGTACCGTATCCTTGTTGAGCAATCGCGGTCGGCCTGTGGAAGGTCAGCCTACATGTATGTACTGAAGTCGTGAATCATGTTACAAGTAGTCAGTAACTCTTGCTCGCACTCCCCTCAAACGCCAGAATGAGGTCTATCATCACCACACAACCATCACCTCTCAAGTCCGCACACGCAAAGACAAAACCAAGAATTAAGTAATCTCATTTCTCGCCCATGCATATCCACCTATAATAAGCCTGTAACCCTCCCAGCGCCAATCAATATCAAAAGAAGTTGCCATGTATGCATAGCCACCCAGCTTTTGCCCTTTGTAAAACTCCGAGGCTCATGAAGAACGAGAAAACAGGAACAGAAACACGGGGTAAGTGATATATTTGTTCGACGTTGTGTCCGGCCACTGAGAGCTAGGGGAACTCGAGACATGGACCGCACGATCCCTCCCGCTACGAGGATGAAGCAAGCGAGCGTGATGCTGCTACGTTTCTCGAGCATGAGGATGCTGGGAAGGACCGTGGACGTGCGAACGAGATATCGTGTTGTGTTGGTCACTCAGGGTCGAGAATCGACGCAAGATGGAACCTCTGATCGCGAAACAACCTATAAATCGACTTTCGAGGACGTGAAGTCCCAGAGCATCTTGACTAGGGAATCGGGTAGGGTGTAGAGGTCGACGTGGAACTCGCCATCTATGATTTGTTAGCACGTGCCTTGCAATGGGAGATGATGGAAACCTACTCTCGACGTCATTCTTAGTGTACGTCTCGCTGGTCTTGTTGTCGTGGACCAAGGTGACCACGTGCAGCAGGTCATCCTCACCCAGCTTCTGCAGTCCATCGGCCAACTTCTCCATGTCTACGTTCTTGTCTCTCCGGCCCTTCTTCTTGGCGGCGTCCTTGTTGCGCATGCCGTTGGCCTCGGCGGGACCAGACTCGGCGAGGAGGGCGAGGAGCTCAGGCTTGGGGTTGCGGAAAGTCTGCAATGGCGGGTCAGCAATGTTCTGGCTGATGAATAGCACGCGTATGTGGTACTTACAACTTGGTGCTTGGCCTCATAACGCTCCGACTGGAAGTTGAGGTCGTGCTCGAGGGTGTGATCACCGCCCTTGCCAACAGCGGACAAGACAATGCTCATGTCGAACTCACCCCAACCCTTCTCATCGATGCGGAACGGCGGCTTCTTGATGACTGTTGGCAAGTTAGTGGGAATGCTTGCTGACGGCATACTGCTGAGCGCAGTGTCGGGCGCACTTACTGTGCTTGTTCTTCTCGAATGAAGGATGCAGGTTGTAGACGGCCTTCTCGAAGACGCTGGGCATGACCTCGTTGCCCTGGTCATCCAGCAGCCAGACCTCTATGCTCCATGATCGCATGGGGTATCCCTCAACGGGCGAAGGCTCCGCGCTGTGAATGCGTATTAGCGGCTGGCGACGTGTAGACGCGTGAGATGGGCAGGCGCATGCGATTGCGCGCGGATTGTACGTACATGGGCTTCTGGTGAGTGATGAGCTTGACCCATCGCTTGACCTGCGCGGTTGTTAGCATTTGCGCGATGGTTTTGAGGGCATCTCCAAGCCGCAACTTACGTCAGGCATCTTGTCTGATTTGCGCCGCGAGGACTGCGTAGACGGGCTGCTGCGAGCGTGATTGGTTCCGGCCTGGCTGGAGAATATATACGCGAGGTATGTAGAGGCGGTTCACGTCGGGCGCGGTCTGGCGTGTCGGTCTCTTGCGACAAAGCCGGGGCGCGTGTAGTAAAGGCGTGGCTGGTCTCGGGTCGCGAGCTCTGATTTGGCGAGTTAACTGAGAGATGGTCGCGGGGCGGCGGAGACGGAGACTAGTTGCTCTGGCTTGGCGCAAACCATCAAGCTGTAAGAAAAGCTGCACGAGCACGGAAGCCTGCCTGACAGGGGACTAGCCCTCTGCCAGGCGAGAGACGTGATACGGCATCGGCACACGTTTGCATTGCAGGTGAGACTGCAGGCTATGCAGGGTCAATTTCGCCATTTCTTGAAAGTAAAGCCATCACTAACGCAGTTCGTGCCATCAAGTCTTGCTTGGGGGGACGCCGTTGACTACAGTAGTAGGGCCATTTAGTTACTATCTAGTTATGTGCAGGGTGTGGGTAATCTCTTCTACCACCATCTTATCATGCCGTCCCAATTCCTCATTCACTGTTCGTGCAAACCATCTTTTCGTATCTCATCCCGTCCTCCAAGCTGTTATTATCCAGCAGCATTTACTGCTCCGACTTGCCGAAAAGCGCCTCGTTCTCTTGCTGGGCCTTGATGAAGGCCTCCTTGAACTGGTTGGCATCTGACAGATATAGTTAGTGCTCCGCTGCGCGGTTTCGTGCATCTGCTTGGACTTACTCTCGCTGTTGGCGAAACGGATGGCCAGGGTCTGAGCCTCGGGCTCGCCCTCGCTGACATCGGCGGCGGCGTTCCAGACCCAGCTGCGGTCACTGCCGACGTTGGGCGACAGCTTCATGTCGGGAACAACTATTCACTTCTCAGTATTCGCTTTCCTATCTGCCTTCCATGTATCATACCGTAGTGGTTGGCGCAGACCTTGAGGGTCTTGTCACGGCGCATGACGAGACGGGTCTTGCCATTCTCCTTGTGCTTCAGTAACCGGACGTCACCAGTGCCGCGCTCCTTCCACTCCCGCGATTCCCTGTCGAACTTGAACAGCTTGGCGCGCATCTTGAACACTTGCTCCTCGAGCTCCTCGTTGGTCTTGGTGTCGACCTTCTCGGTGAGGTGCACGACGGGCTGGAAGTCGACATCGGGCTCTTCGTTCTCGGGGTCCTCGTCCTGTCACCTTGTCAGTACATCCTAGGTAGATTTCCAGCCCACACGCACCTCGCCCTTGGGCTTGGAAGCACCTGATGGCTCGTCGACATCATCGGCCTCCTCCTTCTTGACCTTTGCGGGGCCGCCACCGAACATGGAGAAGACGTTGTCCTTTACTGCGGCCGCTGCCTCTGTCGCCTTCTCTGTGATGGGCTTGTCATCCTTGCTCTCTGTGGTGGTCTCGGGCTTGTCAGACGCCTTGTCGGTGGTGACCTTTGCGGTCTCGTCCTGAACAAGAGTCGCCGCAGGGTTGGCGATCTGCTCGGCGGCGGGGTCGGGCTTGGCTGCTTCAGACATCTTCTTCTATTAATGCGGAGTATTCGGGTCTGTGTGTAATAAGAAGAGAGCTGCGTTTGTGGGGGAGATGTGGTGTGTTTGTGGGTTCTTGTGTCAACAACTGCCTGTAAATTGGGAAGTGGGATGCCCCTCCAGAACGCGCTTTACCCGGTTCGGCTCAGGGGACGTGCCCAACGCGCCTGCTCACACCTGACGCAACGTGCACCCTACCAGTCTGCCCTAGATGATGAGTCAACGTGTAACTACGTCAGTACAGAGCCAAGGGCATGTGCGCATCTACAAGCTGCTGTAGATGCATCGTGGTATGAGATGAATTTGACAAGTCCTATAACTCCCAAGTTGTCCTACTGTCCACACCAGGTCCCAGGGGTATATCACTGCACCCTTGTGTCTGCCCTCCTGTCCATATACGCCGCATAATCAAAACAAGACAGTGCAGAAAGTCACATGAGATCCTCCACTGCGTGCCACCTTCCCATGTTCCCTAGACCGCCCCTCCCACCTTTGCACATGCCCAACTCTGCCCCTCACCGCCTTCCTTTGCAGACAGTCCCGCCGCCAACTCCATCTTGCACCTCACGCGAAGAGCATTCATCCTGGCCCTTTGCATTGCTGACGATGTCCGCACCGGTGCGGTCACCTTTCGCAACCCCATCCACGTAGCATCCGGTATCTGTCTTGCCCGATGAGCCTTCATCTCCAGTTGATGCTTAGTCTCCTGAAGTTGCTTGGAAGCGTAGAGATCAAACCCGGCCATGTATTCTTGAAGGTGCTGTGCAGCTACAGCAGAGACGTTGCGAAGGGTGTTTTGTGTGTCCAATATGCTGGACATGGTAGTGTCGAGAAGTTGATCTAGCGTCGACTTGTTATGTCCGAGCATCACCTCGAAGGATTGCCGCAAGAGAGGCTTTGAATGTGTGGCAATGCTGACATTGAACTTATTGAATCGATACTGCTGATCCAGGTCGACAATGTACTCGCCGGTGGTGGTTCGGTTGTAACGTGCTGGAACCTCTTGCGAGTGGCGAGAAACTTGAACCTGAAGTTGGGGTTTCTTCCGGTTCGAATTGAAGGATTTAGAAGGACGGAGTACAAACTGATGGTCTCCGGTGATCTGGATTTCGAAACCTCCAGCCTGGCTGTTCTTCGCCTTCGGCTTCTGGATAGCCTGCTTTGGCTGGGACGGTACGACAGTGAGGCCTCGAGCTTCGTGTACAAGGCTCGAGCGACTCGAATCCGGGTAACGAGCCGCACTTGGAGACACTGACGCTACGGGTGTGATCGTTGTGGTGTTGTTCTGAATCTCTGATACAGCTGGTGACACTGATCGCCCTTGTGACACTTTTTGGTATAGCATGGGGGTATAAGCCGCACCCATGAGAAGCGCGGGGATGAGGGCGAAGAGAACGAAAGCAGATGCTAGCAACTTTGCAATTGGCCATGGTGATCCCATCTTCTTCGTAGACGTCTTGGTTTTGTCACTAAACCACGAAGTGCGGGCTGTCGAGGCAGCTCTCGTGCCCTGTGCCTTCGCTAGATGAGGACTAATGAGTGCGAGATGGCGATTAAGCTGCGATGGCTCGAGTTGGTCGAACTGGTGGATATCGAGGGGCAGTACTTCCTTCAGCTCGTAATCAGTGTTCGGGTTGTCTCGCCCTTCTACGCATGCCCGTAACGACGTGGTGTTCTCATCAACGGAAGTTCCAGCTCCGAAAGGATTGGTCTCAGCAAGTTCGATGCATGGGATTGTCTCGCGTTCGAATACTTCCTTGGCAGATGCAAGATCTTGCTTGTCAGCAGTGCTATCAAGGACGCTTGGGTGACAGAGGACCACAAGGTCTGGTCGATCTGAAGAGTGAGTAGACAGGCCGGAGCCGAACATGAGCTGTCGTCCATCTTCCATGATGGCAAGAACGTGCCTCTTCTCGCGCGACTTATGAATCTCCATTTTGGCACAACGATCAGCGTGCGGGACGGGGGCATAGGGCTCGATGTGACCGCGGACCATGACCGACTTCGAGGCGCTAGGGTAGGCAGCGAGTGCTGCGCAGATCTTAGAGGTGATGGTGCCCTCTGCCCACTTTCCACTACCAATATACAGTATTCGGTATGCGTCTGGGGTGGCGAGAGGGTCCTTGGACAAGGCTGCCTTGACCGACAACCTGATCTCTTTGCAGCCATAACGGTCGAACACCGGTGGCAGCTCGTCCGTGTAACCTGCCGAGCTCTTGATGACGCTGCTTCCATGGCTTACATCAGAACTGCCCGTATCCTGCTCTTGGAGTACGAAATGCCTTGAGCTCATGCTCCCACTCAGGTATGGCGGAACCTCTGTCAAAGAGGAGTCTTCCCCAGATAGTATAGGGTGTACGTGGGTTTGCTGCTCTTGGGATTCGCCGTGCGAAGAGTATGTGCTATCTTGTAAGTGGTGCTCGCCAGCTTCGTATTCGACGTCGTCATCACTGAAATCGTCAGACGTGTCATCGGGCGTGGGACCGTCGGTGGACGCGATCGACTCGGTGTGGGCTTCGTCGTCGGACATGTCCATGACGCCGTCGCCGAGCAGGTCATAACTGCTGTCGTCGAGAGAGCTGCCCGCCTCTTCTGGGGCTCGGCGCTGAGTCGACCTCATCATGAGCGTTTCAAGATCAAGCTTAGTGAGCGAGTGGGCCACCTGCACAGGGGGGAACTTGAGATCCTGAGAGGAGTTAGGCTCGCTGGAAGACATGTCAGCCTGTTCTCATGCGAAATCCAGTGTGATCAGAAGTTCAAAGCGATCCGAGTATGGTGGAAGGAGAGAGGGGGGAACGGTCAAGGTGAGGTTGTGGTGGGCACCAGGTGGACGCTGCCTAACTAGCTGCGGGCGAGGCGCGTATGGGGGCCTTCGGGAGGAAGTGGGGACCAGCGGGAGCAGGTGACAGCACATACCAGATTGCACACTGATAGCGTGATAAGTGAAGTGCAGGACTACAGAGATGCTGTCAGTGAATGCGAGAGACGAGCGACTGTTCAAACTGCTGCGAGTTGTGGTGACGACAAGGTGCTGATGGACGGTCGAGCTTAGGTGGGATGCGAATGGGGGTAACCCCGCATAGTCTCGTAGTAAGCGATAAGATACGGAACATGGTTCACATGTCCACAGCGGGCCACCTCATTCAATGAAACTGAACAGGCGCGTTGCAGTCTGCATCAGCACAATAATAAGTCTTAGTAAGATGCTGAGGCGATGTCGATTCCTGTTCGATCTATTTTTCTTTCAAAAGGTGGATGTTCGACCTTCCCGTTGAATGGGGTGGGGCCGTCATCTAAAGCAAGCAATCCCATGACCAGACAACGAGGGGATCATTCAAGAGCAGAGCTGTTTTCAACTTGTTCGTATTCGTTCTCATACACTGTGTCGCCAATGCGCAGAAAGTAAGTAAGCCTGCAACGACGCCCGCGTAGTCCTGATGCTCTATTGAAGGGCGGCCCAGCCCGTATGCAATGCCAACACCTGACGCCTTACTGGAAAGAGGAGTAGATGCTAATGTTCCCGCAAAATGCTAGCCTGAAGCTGATAGAATATCACGCGAGAAGGAGAGATCATGGTCCGTCAGGCCCAGGTGATGCCCAGCCACCAGCCACTTCTACCCATTCCGTGAGGCAGGACCCTTCTTTGCCCTCTACGTCGACAATGTCCTGGTCGCATTTGCAGCGACAGCCGACACCGTTTTCCTTGACTGGGTCATATGACGCCCAGTACTTGTCTTCTTCCAGTCGCTCCTTGTCGTCGAGTGTCGTCTTCTCAAGATATGGCTCTCGGGCGAGTTGTCGCGCAGGTGCGTTGGCGGGACAATGTTGGATGGTCGTGTGTCGGTATCCAAAGTCGCGGAAGTAGTGAATATCCTCAGGGCCAAGTAGTGCACCAACAGCTAGCGAGTGGATAGGCGCATCTCCCCATCTCTCCATCCAGAAGCCACCACTACGATCCATCAGCTCAAAGAAGTCATTGTACTCTTTGCTGCGGAACCAATTCAGATTGGCGATTTCGAAATTGCTCCAGAAGTGGCACATGTTGTATGATTCGCCCTCCATGTTCTCTGGGTGGATTTCAGGCATGGCCTCTGTGCCGAACTCGGCATCCATTATATCCTGAGGAAAGAAGTTCTTCTTCGACTTGGGCTCTGTCTTTGGCGCCTTCTCGTCCTCCTCTTTCGGCTTCTCCACGAACATCTCCCACATGCCCTTGGAGGTCAGGTTGTTGTTACGCTTGTAGGCCGAGGCATATCGCCAGATGTTGGGGACGGTTTCTCGTAGCTCCTTCACCGCGATGGTGAAGCCATATGTCTTCTTGTTCCGGATCATGTGGATAAAGGGATCGTATGTGATGTCGCAGAAGTACTTGATCTCAGGCTCGAGGCGCCAGTACCAGTCGTATTTGGCGAGGAGTTCGTGTTGGTAGAATTTACTGTCCGTGTTAGTGGCAATCAGAAGAAAGAATGCTAGGTTACATACCCCGAGTAGAACCTGCACATGTGATGGTAGCTCTCCATACCACCGTACATGATGGCCCTGTCACCCTGCTTGGCGATTCCTTCCTTCGCAACATCGGGATCTACCCAGTCGGGGAAGCCCCATTGCTCGGGAGGGATCTTACCCCACTCCACTGGAGCACTGACATGAGCCAAGACCGTCTCCCTGAACGTCTCGTTGAAGTCTCCGTCGTTGAGGAAGACGTATGGGTAGTGGAACCACCGATTGAAATGTCTCTCAATCGACTTGACCGACTGTATGACACCGTCCAACTCCTTGTTTCTCGCTAAGACTACAAATGCAGCGTTTGCTCGGGGTCCGTTGACCTGCGGCTCGAGGCAGCCTACCGCGAATGGCTTATCGTACTTCTCGCTTATCCGTCTGCGCATTGTTAGATGTTGTTTGAATGCTGAGATGATGAGATTCCACGTACCTTATCGAGGGAGGGCCGCCGGCGGGCATGTTCATAATGCCCTGCGAGTCGGGAGACTTTACGAACAGTATTATGATTATTATTATAACGAGACATGGAAACAGCAACACCAGGCCCAACGGTATCGACACGGATGAACTCCCCTTCAGCCGTATCCTGCGTCGAAAGAAGGACAACCGTGGGGAGTTCTTTTCGGCGCGGCGCGGTAGGTCGTCCAGCTTGTCTAGACTGTCCTTTGAGGTTGGTAGCCTCCTCGTCATATCTTGCAGGAAGCCCATGGTGGTGCCCAAGTGGTGGCGTGTCTGGTATGCGATTCCCTGCCAATGGCAGCCCTATTGCTCTTTGGCCCAGTCGCAAGCGGTGCGGAGCGAATTCGAGGGGTCTAGAGGACGTCGACTGAATGCGACGGTTGTGGATGAGGAAAGGGCGACGTGTTCAACCCAAGGAGCTTGGTCGATAACGAGCGTGTGGGTCGTGACTCCAGGTGGGTGTACGACTATCGAGATCGGTTGGCGATTGGCGTGACGGGCTCGAGCTTGTAACCCTGAGGGAGTGAAAGGAGAGAACAGGGTCGTTGAATGTAAATTATTAGCGGCCGATGATTGCGTATGCGTTTCGAGATCTGCTAGTTGACATGTTCCCTGTCGGCGGAACGCGCCAAGCCCTTTAGCACGCATGCCGATAGCAGGTGCAGCGGACCAATACGTTTCGGGATGGGCTTTCACCCGCCATATCTAGGCACCCGACTAGACAAGTCGATGGAGTGAATTCTCTCTGGAACCAAGAGTAGACGGCAAGTGCATCGTAAACTATCCGCAGCTAAGGCGGCGAAGGAGCCGCACGGAAACCCGCCGCTAAGCGATCGACACGACATTCAGCCAAACGACTAATCTAGACCCTTACGTGCATGCCGTGTCAGCACATCCCTTGCGCTACAACCACCATGAGCTTCAAAGCAAAAGACCTCCATTTCGGTAAGTTTGTATGTAACGCAATCGTATCCTTCGCTGACTCGCCATAGACAGCTCACAGCCAGCCTTCTTACAGCGGCTGCGCGGGCAACTCACCAGTGGAGACACAGCCCGTCATGAACATCCAATCGCGCGGAATAAGAGGATGAAGAAAGACGACGACGAAGATGATGCGCCTACGTATGTCATGGAAGAGACAAATCAGTCGCTGAGTAAAGAGGAGTATGATGCGCTGGTCTCAGGCAAAGATGACAAAGAGGGAGGGGAGCCGGCTGCAGACGAGGCTGGAAAGAAGAAAGATGGTGATGCGACGTCGCAATCCAAAGATAAGATTGCTGAGGTTGGTGCAGTCTCAAAGAAGCGCAAGGCGGCAAAGATCATCGGGGATGACCAGGACGAGAGCAAAAAAGGGGAAGAGGCGGATGTGAAGAAGCCAGAAGCGAAGTCTGCGAAGAAACCGAAGAAGAAGGCCAAAGCTGTCAAGCTCACTTTCGGCGAAGATGAAGGCTGAAGACGGTCGCATCTCAACCATCGGATATTACCCGCTTGTTAAAGACGATGCATCGAGTCACAACGCTATCTTGGTCCTCTCTACTTGACGCCAACGTCAACTCAGGCTGCACAAGACCATCGGATCTGCTGATTCCTCCGGGATAGTGATCACTCTCATTCATCTGCGGCTCGCTCGCGTGGTCAGGCAGACTGATCCGCAATTAACAGCAACAGCGACGCGATACATATGGCGCAAAGGAGAAGAGGAAGCTCAAGCTGAGTCGTGTGTACTCTAGTATAAAGCTCACTTTACAGCATGGAATGTCGCATACGAGGGCTACGAGCTTCCAAGGTCCTACCTTTCAAGATGCTACCTAGGTAGTGAGCACATGGGGCAACATAGTGAAATTAGTACACGTCAATTTTAACCATGACGGTATACCATTACTTCCCATAGTTTCGTTCTTCTTTTGACTAAGCTATGCAGCATGCCATGTCTGACCTATCACATTGGCCCTTCGTGGTCAAGAGGCAAGATCTCAAGATGCTGCCAAGGTCGGAACGTTCCGATCGGAACGAGGATGTCAACCCAAGCGCTCGGGACTCCGCAAGGAAGTTGAAGCCTCCTGCATGCGGTTTCCCTTGTCCGTCCACAATCCTGCCATACAACATGGCGAAATTTGCGCTCGAGGTAATTCACACAATTACCTGTTCTATCGCACTTCTCATCTATTCTTCAGGACTTTGACAAACACATCGAGAACCTACGCGCGCAACTCCTGTTTCTCAATGAGACGCTCGATGCGACGGATCACAATGCCCCCGACTGGCTAGCTACGGACTTGATCTCGCTGCGAAACAAGTCGGGAAGATTGCAGGACGACATGAAGAGATTTAGAGACCAGCTCGAGGACGAAGGTCTGGCGGAAAAGAAGAAGGTATGCTGTGCCGTTTGCGCACGCGATGCCGAAAAGCTAACAAGCCACAGGTCAAGACTTCAAACAAACGTCTTAGTATCGAGGGCGCGAAACATGCCTCTACTACACCAACTGGGCAACCCCCGAACTCCAACCCGCATGCTATATCTCCTCTCGTGGATCAATCGCCCACACCACGCGCAAAACGAGCCAGAATCGAAGACGACTACGTTGTTCAACATGTTGATGTCACCGAGGAAGTGAATAGGCGGTTACAAGAGAGCCGTTTGCGGCGCCTGATGCAAACGCCGAGCACAGCGCAGAAGCGGAAATTCGATGCATACGAGGATGGACCCAGGTCAGATGGGCCGGCTGGGACAGATGAAGAAGGGCAAAGAGGTGGACAAAGTGGGAGCGAGTACGAGAGAACCCCAACGAAGCGGCTGAGGAGTAGTGGAACCTTTGAGCATCTAGGAAATAGGACAGAGGACAGGCCAGGGAGGCAGAGTCCACGCTTTGAAGACAGAGTTGACGTGAAGAGGAGGAAGTTCCAACGATAACCAGCGAGAGATTTGCGCGTGTTCATGAGGTCCGTTATGCATGACCAGTGCAGAATGGGGACAACGGCGTAACGGGCATGGGAAGTCGAGAACAGCATATCAATAGGCGCATTTGAATTATGAGCATTATAAACCAAGCCAGCCTGTGCACTGAGTACTGTTCGCGTGGCTTCAGATCTCCGCAGCACCTCCGCTCCGAAGGGGAAGCTGCAGCCGAGGCGGGAGCTAGCCGCCGTCTTTGCATCATTGAACTTTTTGACATTGCGACCACCGAACTACCCTGACATCACCCCTGCACTCTGCCTGCTCGAACTCCTACACGCGCAATCAATCTACTCTGAAATCCACTGTAGTTCCAACACCGACTGCGCGAACACGTTCACCAGGATGGCGACACCGAACCCCGTACAAAATATGCCCATCCCACCAGAAGAGCGCCTCGCTCTGGAACAACAAGCCCGATACCAGCGCATAACACGTAACCTAGCCATCGGCGGCCTCGTAATATGTCCAATAATAGCCATACTCCCACCACGAAAACTAGACCTCTATACATTCTCTCTAGGCATCGGCTTCTACCTCTCCGCCGATCATCTCATCACACTACGAACAGGCCGCGGCCTCGTACAAAACCTCAGTCCAATGCGAACCATGGACCTACCGACCGAACGCGCAAAGGAGATGCAGAAGATATTGCAAGAGGAAAGGGAAAAGAGTCGGAGGACACTGGAGCGGAAGGAAGGGCAAGAAAAGGGTATACTTGGGAAGCTGTGGATGGGCGATGAGGAGGAGGGCTGGAAGGAGCGGCGATTGGAGGAAGAAAAGAAAGCTATTGAAGAGGGAAAGAGTTACGGTGATATGATATTTGAACAGATTTGGGAGGTTTGGAATTGGGACAAGAAGAAGGGAAAGGACGGCGAGAGCAAGAAGGAGTGAAAATGTCTTTGGGTATGCAGAACCGCATTCTCTTGTATAACACGGATGTACGATATCGCCTTTGGGGAGGACTGCTATCCATTGTGCCCTACGTTAGGGTCTTCGGGGCCGGCCAGTAGCGGGAACACGTTCATGAGGTGATGACCTAGATGTCTTAACGAATACAGAAGACCTGAATCTTTGACAACAAAGGGCGTAAAATTAAAAGAGACAATCAGTGAATTGTCTCTCATACAGAGCCTTCAGATGCGCCTCGAATCTGCAACACTGTTGCGAGACAGTGGACGCGCAGTGCAGCTGACTGACGAAATCAACTTCTGACAAATGTCTCGAGCATGTCGCAACTAATTCTCTACTTCCCATCACAGCAAATAATCCTCTCATGACAAGATGGCCAAGGATTACGCAAAACGAGTCTGAGCACTGACTGTATGCACAGGAGCGATGTTTGCCTATCGACCACGTACTCAACGTAGGCATCCGGCCATTGGCCTACTCCAGCGCCACCATCTATGCTCACCAAACTCACCGCGTCTACCTGTTTCAGCTCAGGCCAGCGGAAGGACTAAACAGTAATTATATCTGGACATCGTTTACGCAGCCTCCCATTTTCTGTGTAACATCCTTCCCGTATCGACAGAGCCACGGATCTCGGTAACATTACGCGCTTTACTCATTGTTGCAATCCTACTGGGAACCTACAGAATGTCTCAGCCAAACACGCCACTCAGTCACCCAGCCGCCGATCTGTTCCTTCCATCCATGGACGAGGAGCAACAGCTCTCTCAAGCCGACTTTAACGAACTATTCGGACCATGTGGCTCAGAACAGCCTATCTTCTCGACGAACAACAGCGATATACTCGATGACTTTGGTCTTACATATGGAGACGGCGCCTTTGCAGCTGTTGACTCATCAAACACCTCCACAACTTCGACTCCCGACTTCTCGAATTACGACTTCGGCCAAAACGCTGCGGCATACCCGACTCCCGGACCAAGTACACCCCATCCCTACCCGCTAGATCTGCAACGAGCCTTCCCAACAACAACTGATGATCCAGACCTCAACGATCGTCCTCGGCCTATGCGATCTCAAACAAACCATGCCTACCTCCACTCAGAACAGCCATCGCAAGGCTATGGTCGTCGTCGGTCTTTGAGCACTGGCGATACAGATCGCATTGCCACAGCCAACAGCATCACCAATCCCACTTTCGTTCGGCTCCAAGCACCGCGTGCGAGATCAGCTACACCAGAACACAAGAGAAGGCATGCCGCGCACTTCCAACATGGAAGGAGTGTGAGTCAAGGTCCGGCACCGAGAGGAAGGCCACTCAATCCAACAAGCATACCGTACTATACGTACAACGATACATTCGTCGCCGACATGTTTTCTACTCCTATCGGCACGCCGCTGAACGAGATGAGAGATCGCCGGGATCTGAAACATGGCACTGGTCACAACAGTGCCGGCGTGATAGATGCTGCAGTTCGCTCGGATAACCCGGTCATTCGGCATATGACACGACCTGATGAACTTGCACGAAGCAGACAGATCATCGAGATTGGCGCTCTAGCGGTTGCCAGTCACTTGACGCTGGATCCTAGACTTGGGCTACAAAGTCCGACCACAAACCGCGCCCAAATCCTCAAGAAGCTCGCCGATATCGAAGAACATCTGGAAGACAAAGAAGCAAATGAGGCTCTTTCCGCGTGTAAGACGATCCGAGACGCTTTGTCGAAGAGGATTGAAGCTGAGTTCGTCGATACAGTAGACGAGGTGGCAGAAGATTATTTGGAGGCTCCCAGTAAAGTACTTGAAGGAGCGCAGTATGGTATATACGACGGTGATGATGACAACGAAATCATGGGGTTGTTGATGAGAGAGAATGGCGTTGATTGCCAGGAGACTGGATAGGATTCTACACAACATCGAAAACCGATAGAGCTGGGCATCGAAGGAACAGATGCCTGGCGTAGAGTGATTGGGTCGTTACCGGGCTGAGCGCATAAATGGTTGATTTTGGGCTATACATGATGTGAATAAATACAAGGTACCTCTGATGCACAAGAAACGAATTGTGCTGTACATTGGTTCTTCAAATTCATGCCTGACACAGAACCTCATATCCCAATGCTGCTGCAAATTTGATTGGCAAACAGAGTCTTACTTCTGTGAAGACTGGGAGCGATGTGAGTGCTGCATCTCGTATTCCAAACACGCTAGCTCGCGACTTCACATGACCCATGGAAGCCGCCCCACCCGCCTCCAGCTTACATACAGACCCAGCCACATAACCTCAAACGTGTCAACACGGATGACCCTACTACAATTCATCATCCTACCTCTCATCATGATATTTCGGATAGCACCTCTCGCTGCGATTCTCGCGTTTGCGCGGTGCGGAGCTGCTGAAGTCGCACCGGAAATTACGACAGTTGCGGAGGGCTACAACGTGATTGCCAAGATCCCATGTGTTGGGTGCCCTTTCCTATACCAAGACACATCAAAAGGCAACGATGCGCCATGGGCTCAGAGAAAAGACGACAACGCTCTAGTAAATCATCCCTACTCTCAAAGAGACCAGATCACGCGCTAACGTGCCCCAGCTTCTGAACATCTCCCTTCCCTACGACTCAGCGCATCTAAGCATCAACAATGCCCCGCTTTTAGGAGACTCCAAGATTCTACCGAAAGTGTACGTTAACCAAGTCTTGTTGGACATATCGAAAGATGATCTCGGCAAGCTCGTCGCATCTGATCAACTCGACAACCTTGGCGGCGCTTACTTTGGCGCTTCATACGCCTACTCCCTGCGCCACGTCAAAGACTCCAATGCATTGGTGTTGCACTTCGATATCATGCAATTGTGGACTGATCTGACTTCTCCGGATCTCACAATCGTTATGGACAGGAAAGAGCAGAAAATCCTGGAACTCGTCCTTCTGCAGCGTCCCCTGCTATCCGCTGGTGACCCAGCAAGCGCATACGAGATTATCCGCGCTACACTCATCCCACGCTCACAGTCAAGCATAAAAGGCAAGCGCATACAAAAAACGGCAATGTGGTTCCATGATTGGGACGACAATGGCAAGAAGGGTACAGCGACTCATGTTGTCAACTCGGCTTCTGCGTCCTTCGTAACATGGCTTAGTTCCGGTATCTGGTCTCTGTTCATCTTCATCCTCGCAGTCATGGCATTGTTCGTTGTCGTGTGCATGTTTTGCATATTTGGGTGTGGATGGCACAAAGATGAGTATGAAACAGCACAACACGGAAAGCGCAGCAGCGGGAAGGGTGCTTGGGGCGGAAACGACATTGAGGCCGTGCGGAGGTTCATGACGCCTGAAGAGCTGGGACTCCGAGGCAGTGGGAGGGTTGTGGGGGTTGGGAAAAGCGATTGATGAACTGCGAGATGAAGAGCCATCATCCAGTCCGTGATCCATCCTGATTCACTTCCTTCCTGACCTCGGCTCGATCCTCGTGCGTTCGATGCGCGACCGCTTTCATTATCATCGTCGTGTTCTTGAAAGTCTCGAAAAATCCTGTTGCAGAGCCCACTTGGCAATGGCACATCATGTTCCGACCGCTAGCGCGTCACCGTCGAGCCCACAAACAAGAACACCCCTGGGCAGATCATCACGCCAGCGAACACATCTCCCGCGCTCACACCTCCACGATGGCACTACCATGACTGCGACGATCTTCGGCGGTCCAAGCCAAATATCTCAAATAACCGTTCACGCAAAACGAAAAAGCAACCGGCTGCGACGGCCATGTTGCTTCTGCTAGCGACGCGCGACGTCATTCCGTTACTCTCCGCGCGCCGCTAAACGTCATTCACCCAAGCTCATTTCAACGTCGCGACTCGCACCGAACCCTTTCATTGCACGATCTTCGTGGAGGCCACGGTTAGTCACATGGCTAATTCCAGGCCAGAGAACTGTTGGTCTCGATGCGCGTCAACGTTGGTAAAGTTTGACAGCAGTTCGTCGCAAGGCATCGTCATGGTCTGGGCTTGTGAGGTATGACCGCATAGGTTTGAATGATATGATAAAGACCCTCGTGTTGGCATGTTGGAGGAATATCATCAGTATAGTAATCAATCTCATCACTTAATTCACAAGGGTGCTGTCCTGCACATCCACCGAACACGCACAATGGCCATTACCAACACCACCAGCACCGTCCAGGCAATTTTCGCCCTTCATGTCGTTACAGCAGGCGGCTCCATCATCCTTATCCTGGCCGCTCTTGCGTTGTTCGGTCGCCAGCTCGTTGGAGGCCCTGGACGTCCCCGTACATTCAAGAAGTTTAACAGGTCAACTCTGAACAGACACAGGTACACTAATCCATGCCCCTTCTATACAATGCCAAGTCAACTAACACACAACAGTTCCACTGGCACACAACTCTTCCTCATCACCGGTCTCACCACCCTGATGATCGCTTACGCCGCGCAATCCTCCATCGTGGCCCTCCAATCCCGCCTCCCCTCCCCCTTCTACATCACCTCCGCCTACGCCTACCCCCAATACACGGAGCCCTTCGGCAACAACGACTCCATCAAGTATGGAAAGATCATCTCCATCCTCTCCTTCACCTATCAAGGCGCCATGATCATCATGAACGCCTGCATCGTCGGCGCCATCTGGATCCACGCCAACCACGTCCAGAATAACGGCACTGGCATCAAGGAGCCTGGTGTGCTGTCTTGGGCTCTGAACGGCTTCTGGATGTTGGCTATCCTTGCTCTTGGCTTTGCTAGCTGGGCTGTTGGTCTTGCTCGTCGCGGTAGTGGAAACTCGGCGTTGGCGTACCCGAGTCTGATTGCTGTTGATTACATGGTGAGGACACTGTACGTTGTCTACGTAGCCACTGTCATCGCTGCGTCGACTAGTGCGACGCTTGAGGCGATCCTCTGCTGGATCGGTATCAAGAAGAACGGTGTTGTCGGTGTAAGTTCACTCCCTTCCCTACTGCGCACGACCATATACTGACGTACCCTAGAACCGCTCCAAGTCTGCCCTCACCCGCTTCGTCATGCTCGTCACCCCCATCGTCTGGGTCCGCAACGCCTTCTCCATCGCGCAGCTCGTCCTCATCTACCGCAACACAAACAACTACTCGCGCACCACCAACCAAGCCCTCGCCTTCCTCTTCATCATCTTCGGCGAGCTATGCGACCTCGGTATTTTCGCCCTTGTTCTGCTTGGCGCCTGGAGCTTTGGCCGCAAGGATAACCAGAGGCCTGAGGTTGTCAAGGAGGCTAGGTACAGCGAGAGCATGAGGGACAGCGCTTATGTTGCCAATCCTCCTGCCACTTATGTTTCCGACCACGACACTGCTTACGTTGATGGACCTGCTGGGCCTGCGTTTGAGGCGGGTAGGGGTCCTACTTATATTCCTCATGTTAACTAAGGGAAGTGTGAATGATGATGTACGATATGTGTGGAATGTCTGATGAATGAATTTGATGTGTTACAAGCGTATCAGCGAGTCTTTTAGGTACATAATTGTTAATGTAATTCTGAAAAACCTCATAGGAAACTCTGCTGAAATAACGAGTTGTTGCCGGCCTTCTTCTCCCTCCGCACTCTAGAGCAATCTCTAGTAGGGTGTTCACTTCCGAGACTAGATGTCCTCCTCTAAGAAGGGAAAGGAGGTTTCGCTTCCAATTCTGTCCATACATATTAGGAAATGAAATTAGAAGGAGGAATGGTTATTTTACCTGTCCAACCTCTTCGTGTAGCAAGTCTCATCTGTATGGCAGTGGTACAAGCAAGGTCTCTTCTTCACGGAGGAGATGGGAGGATCGCCGCCGTAGTGAGAGCGGAAAGAGTGACCGATCGAAACCATTGCGACGAAGTGATCGGGAAAGTCCTCATAGTTCTTGACCCAGAAATCATGGCTTGCGTTCCAGACAGTGAAGTCTACCATGAATTTTCGAAGTGGATCGCCGAGCTCTGTGCTGTCGAACACGGTTTTGACGCTTTCAAAGATCGGCCGATGGCGGTAACTGGTACATATTTGGTAATTCCATTCGAGTAAGAAATCCATTATTGTGTCTCTGTACATCTCGTCGCCGAGGTGACAACCAAGAAGGTAGCCCTTGATCAAACTCTGACAGCTGGCATCCATCTGTGCTTCATCGTCGAGCCCGGATTCCATGAGGACGCGTTCGGTGTAGAGCCATTGCATGTAGATCTTGAAGTCTTTCGGCTTGTAGTCCGGGAGAGAGATCGTTCGTTCTTTGCGTTCGCTTTGATCCGATAGCAAGGTCGCATGGATTAGGGTTGATGATTCTCGGATGAGCCACTCGTGAACCGTGAAATCTTCGTGGTCGGGTTTTTTGCCAACGCTGATGCTGACGACCTGGGTCCCCATGCTGTTTAATGTTAGTAGCGTTCACGAAAGGCGCACATCGTACTTACCATAGCAATTTGCTCTCAGGGTAAAGCGGCATCGTGGCCGTAAAGCACTGCGCGTGCGAGCGAGGCAACGGAAATGCACTAATGACGTGTGCAAGGGCAGAAAGTGGTGATGTAAGACGAAAGTTCCGAGAGAGTTTGGAAAAGCTCTGGTACTGGAAAAGGTGAGATACGGAATGAGGCAGCCACGTGAGGTGGATGACGTGTTGTACACAGACGCTCGTGAAGAATGGAAAGAGCAACCGGCTTCTCTCACCTCACCATCACACTTGAATGGTGGGCCATATCTTACTATCAGTAGGAGTTCATAGATATGTGCACATCTGCATCTTCAAAACGGGTGCAGCATATCTCCCGAGTTCTCTCTCATGTGTCATGATGCGTGCGGCATTCTTCTCCTTCCATACCACCCACACTAGGCATCCAGTCTCGCACAGAGCCTCATCAGTCGAAGCAGGTCGTGTAATCCTGACGCAAGTTCACACCACATACAGTCCATCCTCAAGCTCGTCGCTTTGCGTCTGATGAATCGGCGTCATCGGGCGCTGTGCGCTTCGTTCCCCCAATCAATGACCTATTCTCGTTCAGCCGCGGTCAAGTCACCAGTAAAAGACGTGACATACGTGCTAGCTTTCTGCCTATAGCAGACCTTCTCGTCGCCGTGACAGTGGTACTTGCAGCTAGTCTGCCACTTGTCGAACGGGTACTTGTCTGGCTTCAGAGACACATATCTTCCAGTGACAGCCAGGAGGAGGTCCATGATCAAGTCCGGTTCCATGGTGTCGATTTTTGCAGGCAATGCTCGGAGTGCGGCGCCGCGATTGCCCCATACAATGATGTCTGTGATGAGTTTTCTGGTTGGCGACCCATCTGGTACGTTCTGGTAGAACTTCGATCCATAGCTTGGAGAGAATACAGCCGATCTACCCTGTAGTTCGATTACGCATTGCATGAGGCTGTCATTTAGAGCATCCCTAAAGTCGGTGTCGAGTAAATAATGACCCAGGTTGAACAGTTCAGGTAGCTTCACGAGCTCTTGCAACAAGGCTGATAACGGATCATCACCGCGTTGTCGACTGTGGACAACGCCTGTGAGAAGCCACTGGAGGTAGACGGCAAACAATTTTCTGTCGAAGTTGGGTAACGAAACCATGCGCTCTTGCGATTCTTTCCATGGTCCCCTCATCGCTGCATCGATGAACTCGGACGAGGCACGAAGGCGATCTTCAGGAAGCATGAACACATCCTGGTCAGCTTCACCAACTTTGACAGTGATCATGTTTCCGTTCGCACTGCGCATTGTTATTTTGCTGATTCATGCTACTCCACACTGCACTTACAAGGCGACCTCGTCTTCGAACCCTTTTTGCATCGTAGTGAATGGTCCGTCGCTCGACTGCTGCGTGCAGGCTGATGTTGTGATGTTGGAGAGATGGTTCGTTTCTGCGCAAGGTGAAGTGTTCCCTGCACATTCCTCCGGAGTGGGCCACATGTTCTGGAGTGAGAGAAGGTCGCACCTTCCACAACTCCCAGGAAGCGTCGTCACACTGTTTATACCTCCCCAGCTGCAACACTGCAACCATCGCGCATACAACGGACGAACATTACATTATTGATCGATAATGGATGCATTTCAATACGCTCGCTCGCTAAACCAAACAATAGACACAAGAAATAATAAATCGCTCAACGACAGAAGCGCGCGCCATAACAACGCGCACGCTGGGTATCTTACAAACGTCCAAAAGGTCATGCCATGCCCGGCCGTATCCAGAAGGAAAGAAAACCTTACCGATCGTTCCACGTCTCAAGACCGCATCAAGCGACCTAAAAGCCCTCAAGCATACGCTCCTACCCGGTCGTCGCCATGGAAGAACCCACTCCCATCGAACCCTTCTTCCTTCGGCGTGGCCCAGACTTCTGGCGAGACGTCGTCGTAGCTCGGCTTGCGGGCCAGGTCCTCAGAGTAGACGCTCGCGTCGTCGTTGGCCCAGCGCTGGTTCCTGTCGTGGCTCTGCTGGCCGTAGACGACGTTCCGGTCGTGCGCTGGAGCGCGCGGTGTGGAGCAGCTTATCCGCTGATCGCCTTCACGCGAGATGATCAAGGTGTCGGGCGAAGGAGTAGGATACGATGGTGATGTAGCAGTCGCCGAAACGATGAGCTTGTTCACCAGGGCATGCAGGTCCGACACATCGTGCTGCAGAGTGCGAACCTGCTGTTCCAAGGCCTTCCTCGCGCTCCTCTCATGTCTGAGCGCCTCATAGACGTTCCGCAGAGCTCGTGCAGTCTCCTCGTTACTTCCAGTGTGGGGAACGGGAGGTGCGGCAAGCGTTGGAGAACCAGGCGCAGGCTCAGGCTCAAGGGTCTCACTACTTGATTGGACAATGAGCTCTTGATGAATGCTCGGTGCTGATCTTGAGTGAGAGCGCGATGCAGATGCAGACGAACTCCGGTTCCTTGATCGCAGGTTGCGCGGTGCATTTTCGAGGATGATGGTTTGCCGGTTGTTACGGGATGACATCCGGCGGGTGAGTGTTTCGAGATTGGAGTACCTGGATTCAAGATCTTGAACGCGATCCTCGATGGGTATGCGATGTTGGCTCTTCGCTGGTGGCGGAGGCGGCGGCGAGATGCTTCGGACTTGCGGTGATTCTGGGATGGTTTCCTCTTTGGGTCCGAACAACGCATTCTTCAGGTCACCGAAGTTGAAGGCTGAGACTGGGGGCTGAACACTACGTTCTTGCTCGCGGTTTGGCTCTTCCGTAATCGGCGTCGCGGTCTGCGATTCGTCCGCTTGAACGAGCGTCGCGCTCATCTCGTTGAACGACTCGTTGTCTGGTTCTCGGATCATGGGCTCTTGCATCGGCACGGTGCGGACCGTCTCTACAGTCTTCGCTGTTTGCGGTCTACTATAGATGCTGCCGGACATGTAGCTCTCCCTCCAGAACTTGATCTCCGCACTCCTGCCTCTCTCCGTCGAGGCGCGCTCTTTTGCGAGATTGTGAAGAGCATCTGCACTTCTTGATCTCCGTCTGTCGTGTTTGGACGTTACTGTTTGAGTCGGGCTGGACAGTGCGATACCGATACCGGGAGACATCTCATCTTCTTCAGCCTGTTCGTCCCACGCTGCCAGCTTTTCCCGAGGCTCGTCGAAACTGTGTCGATGAGTAATGGCACTTGGTACAGTGGGCAGCGTGGCTCTTCGGCGACCGAGATCCGGCCTGTCCGTATCGAATGTAAGGTACTCTTTCGGCGGACTTGCCGGCGGCGCGTTCACGTTCATAGGGTACGGGAGATGTTGGCCTAGCGGATGTAATGGCTGTAGCTCCTCCACTGGCAGATCAGATATCCGAGGATTGGACGGGGGTGTCCTTGGTTCTCTTGGTGGTGTTGATCTCAGCATGGTAGTGTCCTAGTCTTCGTCAGAGTTCATTCGTCACGCTGGTCTAGAAAAACTTACACTATGGTGGTAGCTGTGGCCACGCTGCATTGGCTCTTCTTCCAGATCGTCCGCTCGGTCCGGGCCTTTTCGCCCGAACATCTTGCGGAAAACATTTCTGAGGCCGCTCTTGCGCTTATTCTTCTTCTGCGCAGCTTTACCGGCGCTCTCTGGCGTCGAGCGAAACGGCGACGGGGAAGCGATCGAAGTCGATGGCACAATGCTTTCGCGCTGTACTTCGTCCAAGTGTCGCACTCTGGGTGGGGATCTCGAAGAAATCGGGCGCTCGGGAACAGCCGAATCGCGCTGCGGCTGCTGCTCTCCCACGGGATTTGATCGCAAGGCTGACATATGCTGTTCAGGCACAGGCGGAGGAGACTGAAGTGGTCTTGGCGGGGTTTGCGGCCTTTCATACTGCTCTTCTGGCGCGTCCTGCGTCTGCAGTGTCCGGTCCAGCGCGCCATTTGCCGCGTACTCCTTCTCTTCCTCTTCATTCAACGGCACATCCTCGGTAATAGGGATCGGCCCGCTAATTTTTAAGTTCCCTCTTCTGATAGCCTCAGCCTTCCAGCTGGAGCGCTCCAGAGGCGAGGGTGAGGGCGTCGACGCACTCATATCGGCGACGACAAAGCCTTCTCTTTGAAGCATATGGATGCTGCGATGTTTTGGATTCCGAGTGTTGGCGAATGCGCTTCTGCGGACGAGTTCTGGAAATTGCGCTTAGGCGAGGTTTACCGGGATGACCCAGCGAGCGTGAGGATCTCGACTACCATCACCGATGTCGCGAAAGCAATTGATGGGTAAGAAGCAAAGCAAGGGCGGACCGGAGCGACAAGCGCGGCAAACGTTCCTCCTCCGAAAATAGATGCAAGGCAAGAATAGGCAATAAGGAATTAACAACGATAGCCCCCAAGACTCGAAAGAAGCGAACTCGATCAGAAGGAGCGACGAGGTTAAACAATAGAGAGACGTGCCACAGACGACGTAACGAGAAGAGCAGCAAAAGAACGGGGGGCGGCGCTCTTAGGGTCTATGTATCAGACCGAGAGCGTCATGTACCCTTTGGACAAGGGTGCCAATAGAGTGGGGAGGGTCAGTCGGATGGGGGGCGCGGCGGGAAGGAGGAGGCTATTATTGATGGCGCATTTGCGAATCAAGCAGTATGACCGGCATTACCTTTGACCACAACACAACGGGGGCTGGGGGGCTGCAGCAACAAATAAAGGCCTGATCGCTGCTGCACAAGCGTTGCATGAGAGGCCAACAAGTCGGACCACTGCGCGAACGAACGACGTGCAGGTTGTTGGCGATGGGGCTGTGGGGTTTTGCGTCCAGTACAGCTGCATGTTTTCGCCAAAGCGGACTGTTGCAATCGATACGTTCGTTGGCTGCAGCACGGCACGCGCAGGCGCGCTCGGCCACTGTCCTCTTCAGCCCTTCTGAAACATGCGGCTAACACGTCTTGGACCTCAGCTTCCCTGTCGGCCTCTCAAACTTACCACTCGTCCAGAACCGCCATCTCAAATCCCAGTAAAGCCGTCGCAGAGCTAATCCTTCTGCGTCTACAAATAGCGGCTTGCAGCACTGACCGAGGCGTTCCACGAACCCTCCTCTTGTCGCGTCAGGTCTGAGCGCAAGAAGACATGGGGTCGCCAGGACGCATGTCATGTCATGGACCCTCGGCCGTGCAGACTAACAGGAATCCTTGCTCCAGCCTGCATTAACGCGTTTGAGGCTGTCCGCGGACTAACTCCGACGACGGCCTGATTGGAGCTGATTACTCTGGCCCACACCACACCGTCTATCACGACTGTTTGGTACTCTACTGCACGCGTTACCTGTTGACGATGTACGTTGATGTAAACATGATTAATAGGGGAGGCTGGTCGACAGTAGCCGAAGGGTCTCGAAAGACGTTGACAGAAGCGACGTCGCAAGCGCTGGGCGCCGTTTTGATGAAGTTTCCGGCCTGCGCTGATTGCTCGATAGTATTGCGCCATGTATTGATGGTCACGACTCGCCACCACACACACTTTATCCTGCACGACACCGTTCAGCATAAAGAGTTTGAGAGAATGAGCGCATTACTCGCTGTCTGTTCTGCGTGCTCTTCTGGCCCTTCTCGTTTCTCTTTTGCGCATATAAGTAATCGCATGCAAGCCCTGCTTCGCCGTCTTACCACCGTAGTCTCATGCCGCATGCCACTTTGGCGATGACATTCGGCGTATGTAGGTGTTTTGGCGCGAGCTGTCTCGACTCGCGACTTTGACGCGGGACTACTGCAGCTAAAATCACGCCGCATACCATGGCTGCAGTATCGCGCTTCGCTTGCGAACCAAACCATAGCGCTGAGACCATGTCCTCCCCACACCACTCCAACATGTAGTAGCGAACCACAACTCCGACATTGTTTGTTTGGGAGCCCGTGACAGCGCATGTGTTACAGCCTCGCTTGCTTAGACCCCTCATCCGCCGTTTTCTTGGTCCACGTAGACGTCCGCCAAGTTCGGATACCTGAGATCGGCGTGGTCTTCTAGATGCTGCATCCAGGCTTTTAGAAACTTGGAGCCCCTGTGAATCAATTAAGTCAGCAACAATGCATGGCGCTGTGGTGTGATGAGCGTATAGAATCCTTCGCCGTATAGCAGGGTGCCGAGGGTCTGGTCTCGGTGTGGGTGACGAAGGGTTCCCGTGTGACAAAGCAAGGGGGCGTGTCACGGCAGTTTCGAGTTACGCGGGTTTCAGATTTGCTTGTTCGCAAAGACCACATCCCGACGCCCACGTTCTCGGGTATGACCGATGTCCGCGACTCCGCGATGACGATGAGGTATCGGCTATACGACCAACAAGGAAGGCCAGTGGTGCTGGGGACATGAATTGGGAATGAAGAGGGTACGTACTTGCTTATTGTGTCTGAGTCTCCGATCACACAA